AACACATGTCATCATCTGCTTAATATTAGCTACATATCACAATCTGGTGAGTTATAATTTTGCTTGCGTGTCATGCTCTCATCGCGCGCATCTTTTTTTATATAATAAGATCTTCAAATACCCATTAACAAAAGTATAAGTTTAATTTAGCCCAAAAAAAAGTGTAAGTTTATGTTGTTTCTTGGGACATTTAAAAATGCCATTTTTTGTGTCCACATTTGCAAAATGCCATTTTTGGTGTCCATTTGCAAAAATGCCACTAATTGTCATTTTTTTAGAGCTTAAATCTTAAAATTCTGAACCCTAAAAAATCTTTTGACCCTTTAAACCCCTTAAACCCTCAAAAATAAATCATAATACAACATAGTTAACCCAAACATAAATGATATAATGAATAAATAATTTTGAAAAAATGGCATTTTTGTGAAGATTGTAAAAATGTGGTATTTTTGTAACGTGGTACTTAAAAAGTGGCATTTTTTGAAATTTTTCTTGTTTGTTTATGTAGCCTAATTGTTGCTTCTAACAAGTATATTTGTGGCAAAAGTCAAACTACTATTGAAATTTTTTTATTCTAAAACTAACACAAACCGTAACAATTTAAATGTCAAATGGATTTAGATTGATTTTCATACTTGGTGTAGTTCTAGATCTGTAAGTTTTTTTTGTGAGTTCCTTGAAGGTTTAATTAATTAACCTTCGTGTGGTTGGAATTGAAATCTGAAATTTTGGTGAGACCGTATATCGATTGTCCTAAATGTTTATGTATCTTTTTAGATCGTTGTTATATATTCGAAATCACATGAAATTTGATATACAATTTAGCTATAAAAAACATATGTACTAAAACTCTTCAAAGCCATAACACAAATGACATTCACATATACTATAACAAATAAGATCAAATTTTACAAACAAAAATTCATTACTGAACAGAACAAAATTCACCATACGAAGATCGTTCCAACTGGTATATTCCAATTAGTTCCCACATCCAAGAACCTAACATGATGTTCCATGCAACAACAAGAAGAAATATTTTCTTATTAATTCCTAATTTATGTATTTTTGTCAAGATTCTCAATTCATTTAATAATTATCCTCACGTACGTACCTCACATAACACGCCAATAAGCTTATGGTCAAAATGTGGAGACACTGATATTATTAAGTATATTCAAATATATTATCATGTATCATCTTCTTCAGACCACCTCTGTATTAAAAGTACAAACATGTCAATCACTACTTCTCCACGCCGCCATTAAGACGTGCTTTCCACTTCCTTATTCCCCC